ATGAGCAATTTTGGCCGCTCTACGTGTAGAAAGAATATTTTAGCCTAGGAAATATACCACTTTGCATAGTGATATTGTTCTTTAAAGTTTCAATAACAACAGGAAATTTCTTGAATATAATCTTTTTTCAAAACATAATTTTCATGTTATGGTCCTTTTTCATTTATTATCCAGATTCAATACGAGAAAATGCATTATGTATTCATTCCGCATCTGTATCAATCCTCTACTTAATTTTTATAGGGGAATAGATTTGTTGAAATGAGGTTGACTGAATTTGCCTTATTCTAATTAAAATAAAAAATTAATTTAAAAATCTGGTTGATTCAAATCAAGTCATGAAATCAAATCAAAAATCAAATCTGAATTCTGCTCGCTTGGGGCCTTGATCGGAAATAATCGTATCTTCTAACTTTAACTTCATCATTGAAGTTATTAGTCAATTCATCCCGAAAACAAAGCTTTTGTTTCCAGACAAATGCTAATAAGATGCAATATTCCCCAATATACAGGGCTATAAAACGGACTCTAGAGGATTTCCTTTTTTGAAAACTGTAGGTTAATGTGTTTTGACAAAATAAAAAAGATTTCCATCCAAATATTTATTTATATTGAACAAAAAATGGGTTTTATGAATAATTGTTATGCATTGAATAAATCAATAGGAATATAACAAAGTTAAAGATTATGAAATAGGTCCAGTGGTAATGACATTAAGAAAATGGTATATAAACAGGACTACGATCGCCTTTATTTTCTACATTATATACAGTATATATAAACTGAGAACTTTCAATGACTTTATTAGTGGATTATTCGCTATGAAACAATGAAATGATCAATGATTATTGGCATATATATTTTTTTTTCTTTGTTTGTATTGAAAAAAATTATTGGGAATGTAGGGATTATTGCCTTCGCAGCAAGTTTTTTGATTCATAGACAGACAATATTTATTGAATTAGCAGTTTATATAGTTTAAGCAAAATAAATCTTTGTAATCAATCTATTATTTATTAAGAATAAATACGTATTGGAATAGATGATTGCTCGATCCACATCTTGTTCTTTATCTTCATGATACACTCGCTGACCATTTTTACAGAAAAAGTTATTCAAACGAATGAAGCAGCAAAATTATGTGGATGTGTATCATTCAAATATTCTTTCATATCAGACTCTGTACATAAATCTTTCATCTCCCATTTTGACTTCCTTCAAATTCCATGATTAAGATCATCGATGTTGGCCATATCTTCTTGATTTTAGATAATGATGATTCCAGCAAGATTTTGTTTCAATGTCATTTGAAACTATTGGATAATCGAATACAGTTGCGGAAGATTCAAAATCTATCTCATCAATTCCTCGACTACGTGCAAATTTTTTGTCCGTCAATCTAGCAGCAGTATGTGGAGTTTTGAACAACGGACTCTGGTGCAAATAACTAGCGTAGAATGAATGGCATTACCATGATTTTTACCGATCGATCCATAAAAATTTTGTTGTTTAGAAAATGTGATGGTACCAATTCTGTGACCCTAGATTCTTTAGAATCCCCTGAACAGTTTCGGAAGAGAACCACTCTAAATCCAAACCCAAATTAAGAGTCACAGCGCATTGAATGAATGGCACATATGTAGATATATAGAACTTGCAATTAATTGTAATGCAGACTGCGCCCATTTGTTGGGAGCACCCTTCTTAAAACAATTGCTATTACAGCATTATTCACCCCAATTTTCTTTATGAGCATATCGGTCTGTCAATGTCTTTCTATAATCGTTAGCACATATAAAATATAATTCACGATTCATCTAATCCTAAACATAACCATCTTCTGAAATTAAATTGAATTGGATTGAATTCTATTTCTTTCCAATTTTATCATCTTTCATAATGCGTTTTTATCCAGAAATTTGTTTTTTTATTTTCATCTTTAACTTCCGCAATTTCTTTTACAACTACATTCCAATGTATTTATTACTTTTGCCTCTTTTTTTAAAAAAATAAATCAGTAATTATTAAGAATTTATAGATTGGAATATAATGCATGTTTTTAATAGATGTACTTATAGCAGACAAAGAATTCGAAACAACAAATAATAAAGTAAATATCAATCAAGTATTTATCGGAACTGGATAAAAATAAAAGCTTCTTACCAGACGTCACTTCTTGAGCTAGTAATTAGATAATAAGGAATGATATAGGAAGAATGCATAATAATAAATAACAAATTAATTCCCTTTGCCTTCTAAAAATCCATATGATTGATAGGTATTACAATAAGCCTAACTAGCCTATCTTGTTTAATAGAAAGTAAAATCAGAATGGATGTCAAGTTTACACAACAGGGATAAAAAGAAAAGAAAATTATGAAAGAAGTGCAGGAAAAGGGGCAGGCTGACAATTTATATATATGCTTATCTTGCATTCTTAAAAGACGCTGCGGATAGATGGCGGTTGGCAACAGCAAAAAACGAGTTAGTCGACATCATGCCTAAAATAGCTATAATATATTCTCTGACCAACTATCCTCCTAATAATCTTAATGCTATAGTCAGCCCTGGATGTGCGTCCACATTTTCACCATGTTTGCATATGGTAATATAGAAATTTGTTAATTAGATCAATTGAACACTGACACCCAACGTACATACATACGGCCACCTATAAAGCAATTTTTTATGTATTTATGTCTATCGAGTTTAGTTTTGGTAACAAATCTTTTTTTTTCACATCCAAATACATTAACCACGTTCATGATTTTTATACTGATATGATATTTTGTATGGGCCTGTAAACTATAAAATGTTTTGGTAGAATCATTCATTTCAAAATGAGTGCATTTTCGTAAACTAGAATATTTTTATTTTAAACCTTCTGTTTCAAGAAGAACTTTTGCATGTACTGGGTAACCAGGAATACTGATATGATGATCCGAGAGAAGAAAGAGAGAAAATAAATAAAACCTTGTTGGAAAAATGTATTTTAAATAGTTAAATTAATTATATTTATTTATATATATATTTTTTTTTAATGAGGACCACCACGACCACGACCATAGCTTCTGATAAATTCTGGTTGGAAATCACTAGATGCACCCTCCTTCTTTCCACCATCATCATCATCACCACGACGACGATAATCACGATCACCACCACGACTTTGTGGTGGACGATATGCTCCATCTCTATCACCTCCTTCAGTTTCTATAAAATGTTTTAGGGTTTATGTGAATAAGTAAATGTGAATATATATGTATGTATGTGCATATAACATAATATATGCACCATACAACCTCAAATCACTAAATAATACCTCGAGTTCTATTAGCTTGTCTAGTTTGTTTTTTGAAAGTAGTAGGAACAATTTCCGAAGGCAAGTGTAAATATTCTCTTAAAAATTCGATGCCTTCATCAGTCAATGAATAATAATAATATTGCCATGAGAATTGTGTTTTCACATATCCTTTCGAATTAAGACTTTGACATGCTTTTATAACTTGTAGATTTGGTACATCTATATCTTGATGTTTAGGTGCATTGAAATCCTTTTTTGCTACCAAGACTCCCTCTGAATAAAATTTTGATAATTAGATTTTTGTGAAAATTCGATCGGTTTGAATTGGTTGATGGTTTGATAAATTAGTTTGTTTACCTCTAAAAAGACTTTCATAGATAAGTTTACGATTTTTCTTTGGAATGAGCATCTTTTCTTTTCGTTTTGAGTGTTGAATTTTATTTTATCATCGTAAAAAAAAAAATTTTTAATATTAATATCAATTAATTGACCAATCGAATTTTCTGTTCATTGATCTTCTAGAGTAATAGTCTTAAAAAAAAATTTAATAAGCTGGCTCATGTACTGTACTTCTTTGGAACCTAAATTGACTCCTTTTATGTATACATACCCATATATACGTTTATTATTAATATTTAAAAAATTTCAACAATCACAAACACAATTAATTGATTCATATCTTTCTTCCAATATGTTAGTTTAGAAACATTGATCACAATCGGTTTTTCAGAGATGACTTCTATACAAGCATTATTTATTATTATGAAGTAGTTATCGAGGTAATCAGGAAATTAGATTGTTAAAATATGATAAGATCATATATATTTGTATAAATCGATAGGCTGGTAAACTTAGCTTTTGTTATACCTATCATTGAAAATTGGTTAATAGAAAACATTAATTAAGAAAAAATGAAATTGATGCTCTGGTCATTACATCTACGAGGTAATGTATTTAACATATAAATATTTATAATATTTTGTATTGTATTAATTCTGAAAAAATTATTTTATAGGGAATTGGCACAGCAAATTCATCAGTTTTCTCAATAATTCATCGGATAATTAATTACCAAAAAATTTACTAATCCAATGAAGATATTAAAGAAATAGGATCAGATATATTCATAGGTACATCTGAACGTTTACATGATTTGATAGTTGATAGAAATACTAGCAGTAGCAACAACAACATCAACATTAAAGAATTTGAAGCATTGGGATTTCACAAAATATTAATATGATGATGTCAAATCTGCCAAAGCAAAGAAGGACTAGTTTATTCAGCTATAATGTAAAATCTATACATATATATAGTTTTTAATAATAAATTATATACAGATTGGATATAGTTTATGTGAACCACATCAAGATTAATGAAAAATGAAGAAATTTTCTACATGCGCATTTGTTGATTATTTTTACAAAGGAAGAATAATATATATTATCAATTTTTTAAATACATTAAACTATTCACTATAATTATTTTGTTATTTGTGAAATTACCACAATTTAATGGAATGGACATTGGAAGAAGAGCAGGGGTGTACAAATTTATTTATTATTGTAATAATACAATAATAAATATAATTACTAGCTAACAACAATAAGATTGATAATAAAGATACATATCAACCAATCATTTGTTAATTTACCAATAATATCAACCGCAACTCTACTATGTACTAATGTTGCAGCAAGAGGATTAGATATGCCTGATGTTGTACAAGTAGATCCATTACAAGATCCCAATTATTCTCACATCACTGTAGAAGCATTGCAAGAGCCGCTAAGGAAACGAAAGCGATGGTTTTCTTGAGAATTGGACATGAAGAAGTTTATACAGGTGGATTGTAACTTTAAAAAATTTTTGTGGTAATTCGATTAATTTGGTATTTATTTTTATTTGATGATTTTTTAAAAATTCGTAAATTCCAATCTTTAAACATTAATATACCTTCTCTAACAGAAAAGCCTTGCCATTATTTAAAGAGTAGCAATAGTGATGATGATGGTAACAGCGGTAAAAATACCAAAAGTCGATAAAGAAAATGATGAATTATTAGAACAAATTTGTAAAATGGTTTTAATGGATAGAGATTTACATAAGGTAATTAGCAGATAGTTATGCTTATTTATACACATACACATACATATTTATATTTACATTTAATTAGGGAACAAAAGCTTTTATATCATACGTTAGATTATATTTAAAACTTGAAGCAAATTATATTTTTAGGTTAAAGGATTTAAGTTGTCAAATGTTTTGGTTTACTAAAAGTATGTACTCATGAATTATGTATGTATAAAATATTATTAATGATGATTAATTATATTTTTGATTAATGAATATTATTAATGTTATTAGTTGTCAGAATGCCAGAATTGACTAATGCAAAAATTGCATTTATGAAGTTCAAATAAATGCAAGCTTTAAATAATTAAAAATAAATTTTCTTTAGAAAGGAGAAAATATTATAAATATATAATTTGATATTTTTAGATGGATGAATATAAATATGTAAATAGCACACGAAAAGAAAATTATTGGAACAAACATCATTAAAAAAGTTAAAAGTTTTTTTATAGTCATTATAGTTATAGTCATAGATTTACAATCAATCATATATTCGTTCATCCATCATCTTTATATTTTTCAAGTAGAAACAACAATTAACAATTAAAAGATTCTCGTGTGAAATTATTAATAACAAATAAAGTTGATGATAATGACATTTAGAAAAGATGAATGGGACTATTCCAAGAGAAGAATGATGAATCAAAAAGTTGAAAAAGTTGAAAGAAGAATTTGATAAATTAATTGATGATTTGCTATCAGATGATGGATAGGTGATAATGACGATGGAAGGGAAGAAAGAGTTGAAAGTGAATGAAAATGTTAATTATATAGCAATTACAAAAGTTATTATATTTATGATATGAAATAATTAATTATTTTCATCCTCACTCAAAGAAAATACATTGTTAATTGTAACGATGCTTTAAAAAAATTGATTTAATGAGTTTGAAGAATTCTCAATTTGAAATAAAATTATTTTAATAATTAATACGGGTTTGAATATTTACATATATATGTGAAACTGATTCATTTTCTTTTTTTCCTAGATTGGTCAATCTCAATTGATAAAATAAACTAATTTCATCTTTATTTCTTTTAAAATTAAATGAATAAATAAAACTATTTTTAAATTATATTTTGTAGGTTGATTAATCGATCTAAAAACTTTCAATTACAATGCGAAGAAAAGTTAATTGATTGTCAAAGATCAAATAAAAGAAAAAAGACTGAAATGTAAATAATTTTTATTATTATCATGTATAAAAATCTTAGAATTGCTATTTTACTGAAAATTTCAGATTCCAAGATTTTATCAGACATTTTAATAATAACATCGATCGATGTGCTAAATTCTACCAATAAAGAATTCTCACATAATGATGTTTTCACCACCGGCATGAATTCAACAATGCTGTATTCATATTATATATAATGTGCGTGACCTTATGAAACAAGAGAATTAAAGAACAATTACAAATGTGAAGTTAACAATAATAAGGGGAGAAATGAAAAAAGGAAAACATCCGATGATAAATATTTATCTCACTGGAAAAAGAATTAAAAATTTCAAAATATTATTATAAAAAGATAAATTTGTCATGGTGATTAAATTAATCATCCATTGATAATTCACCAATTTTATCAACCTCAACACCTTTTCCTTTACTGTTGTTACTAGAGTCTAATGTTTATTAATTAAATGTGAATAAAAAAGATTATTAATAATAATTAACAAGTAGTAATTTTCAATTAATTGGCAATGAGAATTTAATTCACCTTCGTTTAAGAGAAGAGAGTTAAAATCAAGATCATTTAATGAACTATCATTACTTGTATAAAATTTTAAGCTTTCTGATTTAGCAATTTCATCATCTAATATTCTACTTGTATGGTATGCTTCTGGATGTGGTTGGTGTACTTGTTGCGAACCACCACCACCACCATTGCCACCACCATTGTTGCTGCTGCTACCATCATTATTAAATTCAATTTCATGTTTTTTAATTTTAGAAAATTTGAATAATCTTTTTATTAAACTATTATTTTTTAAGCTTTTATTTGTTATACTTTCATTTTTAAGAATTTCATTATGTTTATTATAAGCAAAGTTCATAAGCTCATTAATAGTTGGTCTTTTTGATGGATCCACATCCCAACACCTCTGCATCATCTGTGCATAATCATCAGGCATTCCAGGCAATATTGGTGGTCGTAAACCTTCACATATATCAAAAATTAAGCAATGATTGTGAGCTCTGCCATCAAATGGTGGATGACCTGCAAATATTTCCCACATTAACATCCCAGCACTATAAATATCAGATTCTTTGCATTAGTTTTGCCTCTAAGTAGTTCGGGTGCAACATATGATACAATTCCATAGATTTTATTTGATGATTTTTCGTCAACTGGTCCACATAATCCCAAGTCTGTAATATAACAATTACCTCTACTCATAAGTATATTACCACTATGTAAATCACAATGGATTAAATCTTTTTCATGTATCCAATATAATGAATTGCACAAAAAATTAAAGATTGTAATTCTGTCTTTTAATGTTAAATTATGATGATTTTTTTGTAAATAATCGCTTAAATTCCATCTGATAAATGGTTTAAAACCATTGCATAACTTCCACTATCCGGGAATTTGGTTATACCATAGCAAGGAACGATCAGTGGTGCTTTAAGTTTACAATAATTCATTGCCTGTAATTAAATATAAAAATCAATTAGTATTATATAATACAGTATTGTTTATTTTGTTTTAAATGACAACTACCAACCTCATCAAAAAAGCCTTTTCCTGGATTACTTGAACCATTTAAACCTTTTAATACTGCTATTATCCTTCCATTATAACTAAACTCTTTTTTATCTTCATTGTAACCAATAATTCTTCCTTTTGTCCATTTAGCAGTATAAATTGAACTAAATCCACCTTCTGTCAACTTTGTTACTTCTATGAATGCTCAAAAGGTATCCATTCTAAAATATATTTTGGAAAAGCTGAAGTTTTTGACATTGTTGGATAAAGTTGTCAATTATGTTATTTCCAGATGTCCAAGTGGTAAAAAGACTCTACGTGGGGTGGCTGAAAAGTAATGAGAAAATAGCTTTATTTCAAAAACTTTATTACAACTTTTAAAAAATTTTATT